TTATACTGATTCTGAGTTGGTTTTAGGGCAAATGGTTTATATTCAATACTATTTGGGAGATCAAATAGGCAAAAAAAGTCAAATTATCCCCGTTTAGATGAAATGATCCTATACTGAACAGACCCTATAGAATCCACCAAAAAATGTATAGATCTGCTGAACACCTCTGGTATCGCAGTGGGATATAGAATGACTTAAACCATTCTTCACAGATCACTTAGGTTGGAGAGTCACTTATTTACTAACGGTGCTCTTAGTTTACAGCCATGATATTACAAGAGGACATTACTGTTTCTGGTCTGTGTAACTCTTTCTTCTAGTCCCAGTATTCAAAACCTTTTTTGCCTCTTCCCGTTGTAGAAAACATAGAGCACATAGTTCTGCACCGACGGCCGCCAGAGCTCAGGCTGGGGCGGGGTTGTGTACTGTCATGTTCTCCCAGCCAGGAGCTCATTCACTCACTCAGTGTTCACTGAGTCCCTGCAAGTGTCAGACACTGAGAAACTGGAGATTTAAAAAACAAAGGAAACAAAGAGACACAGGGTGTTCTGCCGAATGCAGCCATCAGGATTGGCCTGTCTGTAGAATTAGCATCTGAGCAAAAAGCAGAGTGAATCGAGAAGATGGCTTTGAATCTAGCAATCCAGAAATGAAGATTGCAGCTGTGGCAGAATCTACACACCCTGAAAGGGTTGTGGTCAGTCTGAGACGGGGCAGAATGGGCATGGATGTAGTGGTGGTGGTGATGATGATGATGATGATGATGATGATGATGCTGACATTAACAACACTGACCACGCTGACCACAGTGGAATGAAACCTGTCTGTCCAAAGATGGCTCCATCAGGAAAAATGAATTACTCAAATCAAAGTGGGGAGAAGGGAATAAATACTGCTTTCCCACTGCTAGGCTATGGATCCTGTTTGAGTGTCTCCAAAGGGCATATTGTAACTGAAGGCGCAGCAGGCCAAGCAGTGCCATCAGAAGGTGCTGGCACCAGCTGGGAGGTCTTAGGTCACCGACAGGCCCATGGGGGGTCCAGGAACCAGGCTCTATCATCGTCTCTCTGCTCCTTCGCAAGCGGTGACAGCTGTCTCCCCGTCATATGGCATTCCCACAGGATCCCAAACCAATGTCCCCCCACCTTGGACATGGAACCCCCTCAACATGTGGGCTCAATAGATCTTTTCCTTTCTTAAGTGTCCCCCACTTGGGTATTACGTTGTAGCAATGCAAAGCTAACTAATAGACCCCATTTTGCCCTGCCTTGGTGTAGAAGAAAGGGCACAAGTCAGAGTCGCCAAGCACAAATTCAATATAATTTACTGAAACATTAAGAAAATAAATTTGATTCTTGTCAGTAGTCAGTTGGCAAGAATTGTCATTTTTGTTGTTTCCTCATTTGTAAAATGACAATGACAAGGTAACAGAAGTAGGCAGGGAGACTTCTCAACAGAGGCCCGTGCTCCTCTGGCTGGGTCCTCCAGCCATCCAACTTAAGGCTATTGTCCCAGGGGACAGTAGGTCACAGGCTTAACCCAAAAGGTCACATTCCTGGCTTCTGAGCTTATAAATTTAGGAAGAATTTTGGAAAGAGAGCAGAGGGGACTGCATGAACGCCAAAGCTGCCTCTTGAGAGAGGTTTTGTTTCCACAGTTCTGAAAGCTTGGCATGGATTCTGCAGCGTTTACAGGGAACTCATGGGTAGAAAAAAAAATGTACAATGATAAAGGAGCGATTTTCCATCCAAACAGAGATAAGTGTTTAAGCAGCTGAGCTGGGGAAGGCCAGAGCAGACAGGCTGTGGGCCAGAGGTGGGTCACAAAATAAAAACCTCAGAGGGACCAGGAGCCGGTGGCTCACGCCTGTCATCCTAGCTGCTCAGGAGGCTAAGATCTGAGGATCACGGTCCAAAGCCAGCCTGGGCAGGAAAGTCCGTGAGACTATCATCTCCAATAAACCACCAGAAAACTGGGAAGTGGTGTAGCTCAAGCGGTAGAGCACTCGCCTTGAGCTGAAGAGCTGAGAGACAGTGCCCAGGCCCAGAGTTCAAGTCCTACCACCACCACCAACAGCAACAAACTCAGAGGCTCCTGAGTTCCCTACAGGATGGTGTAGGGCTGAGTGCAAGGCACCAAAGCAAAACCCCACCATCCCCAGTGAGGGAAGCCCCGAAGGTCACGCCCAGCCCCCCTGAACTCAGCCGCCCTCTCAGGACACTGTCAGGAAAACAGAAACCAATTGCAGGAGCTGGAGGCCATGATCTGGTTTTCTAGATGACAGAAAAAGGCCAAACGACGTGAAGCTCCCAGAGCCTAGCACCGAACACCACTCAGCTCCCTCATGAGGGGTGCAGGGAAGAGCGGTCACTGGGCCAGGCGAAGGGAAGTGGCGTCGGCCAGTTCCTCCATTCCTCCTGATCCCCGCTGCCCAGGCCTCCACTGCCTCCATCCAGCGGATGACATCAGCCCCATGTCCCCGGGGAAAGGCCGCCCATGGGGAAGGACAGTGAAGAATGGCTCCAAGGACAAGTGGACTCAGAACTGGCCAGGCCCTGGGGGACGAAGGTGCAGGCGGGGTGTCAGCCCACCGACATGGAGACCTGGCCGGGATGTAGGGTCTCTGCTGCCAGCTGATGTCACACAGAGCCCAACTGAGGCTGGGGGGCAGGAACAAGTGACTCCTGAGAGATGAGGCTTTAAATCTCCAGTCACAGCATCCATTTGGGATGGTGAAACCCAGAGGAAGCGAAGGCTCCTGAGGCTCTCAGCCTGAGAGTAATAGGAAGTCCGTCTCTTCAAGCTGAACTCGTGTTTGTAGAAGTGCTTTGGTGAGATGGGGTTATCAGATGCTTAGGGCATCACACGGTACTATTACACCTCTACTAATTATCGAAAAAATGAATGTCCTTGGATTGCACAGGCTGCCTGCCCTGTCCTACTCCTGGGCAGAGGCAGCAGGCAGAGCCCAGAAAGCCCGAGGTCACAGTGTGTCACCTCTAGAAAGTCCCAGGTCATGACGTGGGCGTCACTTCTGGACTCTGAGTTACACCCACTGCTGTGCCGGCTCAGAATGTGCAGTGGTTTGAAATGGCTTTGGCGTTGACCTGCATATTTTGCCTCAGCCAGCCCACACCCTCCACAACTCCTGCTGTCTTTTTGACAATGGTGCCATGCCACCATTCAAGACAAAGGCAGGTGGCAAAAGCAAGAGGAGCTGGGGGTGTCACGGGGTGGGGGTGCGGGAAGGGGGGAAGAAGAGTCATGGAGTCCCAACCAGCCGGGCAATCCTAGCTACTCAGGAGGCAAAATCTGAGGATCGTGGTTCAAAGCCAGCCTGGGCAGTTAAGTCTGTGAGACTCTTATCTTCAATGAACCACTAGAAAACTGGAAGTGGCATTGTGGCTCAAGTGGTAGAATGCTCTCCTTGAGCTGAAGAGCTGAGGGACAGCGCCCAGGCCAAGAGTTCAAGCCCCATGACTGATAAATAAAAAATAAAAGATCCTTGAAAATTATTTCTAGTCACCATATTTTTCCACACTAAAAATCTCATGTCCACAGTGTCAATTACAAAGACTCAAGATTCCAAATTCTAAGAGCAAGGATGTGGAAGGATTTGCGTCACTTCTTCAGGGCTGGGGCAGAGGCCGGGAGGACATCCCTGGGCTGGGGAGGTGTGGGGGCTGCAGAGGCAGAACACCACCAGCATGCAAAGCCATGAGGCTCAATGCCCCTCAGAACGTCCCGCACCTGGGCAGAAACCAACCAGCCAAGAATCCCTGCCATAGGCCAACTGGTCCTGCAGGCTTCACAGCCTAGAGACCCAGTGCCACCTCTGCAGGCCTGTCAGGGGCAGTAGAGTATCCTAGGAGTTGCCGGTGCCCATCCAGATATGCATTGAGCTGAGCCTGAAGGAAGAGTGTGAAGTGGACAGAGGGAAGAGAAAGAGATGGCTCCCAGAGGCAGAGAAGGGAGCAGAAATGATGGGCCCAATTATGAAGGTCAAGGGCCACAGCATCCTGCTGGTGGCACTGTGTAGACACACACAGCTGGCACTCGGCAGACTTGCTGAGTAGAAAAGGGGTAAAGGTAGTACTATGGAGACAGCTGACGGCACTAAGGCTCTCCCTTCCCAAAGCCAGCAGTCTCACCAGGCGCTGGGCGGAGCGAGGGGCTCGTTTGCACGCTGTGTGCCTGATGCAGACCTGCCCCAAATGCAGCAGGCCTGGGAGATGGTCTCATCAGCCGGGAGGGATGGCGTTCAGCAGGAACAAAACCCACACTGCCTTCGGCCACCAGAATGCACAGCCAGGGCCCTGGGACCTCCTCAGGACAGGCCCGTGACTGCGGGAAGGGCAGCTCTCCAGCTGCACAGTGGCCACACTAACGCTTCTTTCACTTTTCTCCCCCGGGGAAAAACTGCCTCCCACAAAGACTTCAAGAAGCTTTTCTGATGCCTGGAGTAAAGCTGATAGGAGCCTGGCAAAGGTCGGAGCCTGGCAGAGAAAGCACTGTGAGGCTGGGCAAGAAACAGGAGGCATCTGGCTGCACCCCGACTTCCACCGTGGGCACAGACAACTGTGAAGCTTGAGTGCTTCAAGACATTTATCGAAATGCTACCAGTGCCTGCGACATGGACACTCCCAGGCTTCACTGTCCCCTCGTGAGGAGAGTCATCTCTCAGGCCTAAATCGTCAACCCATTGACCATTTTCACCCAGAAATGACCTGGGCTTTGGCTCACCTGGTCTGTGGCTCTTTTTTTAGACACTTGGGAGCACAGGCTGAAACCCCCAGAGACTTCCCACAGTCATGTGTGGAAAAGGAAATCTTCAGCCACGTGCGAAGAGAGGGATGTAAGAATTTCTTTATCATTGATAGTATTTACAGAATTTCACATTCAAACATAACAGCGCTTGTGGTAGGGCTGTACAGGTGCGCCTTTACACACGCAGGCCCCGGGGGGGGGGGGGGGGGGGGGGGGGAGGGCACGCTGACCGAGCTGCGCGAGACTGGCTGTGCTCAGGGACTGGCTCTTCCCAGGAAAAAAGCAAGCAGGGCCCAGGTGGTGACTGCGCTGCAGACTCTGCAAGGCAAAGACAAGGGTCGGGCCCAGGCAGGGCAGGGTCCAACTGCCCCTGGACGCGGCCCTTTTTCTCCTCCTGACTTAGTTCAGCTGAACGCCCTTCCTTCCATTCACTTCCCTGTGTCAATGCTCAATTTCTGCTTCCCAGGAACAATGGCTCTGGGATGCAGACAGGCCACATTGCCTGGAGAATTTGGATCAGAGGTTGGCAGGACAAGGGGCTGCCAAGGAGTTTTTTTTCCACAATGTTGTGCCCTCGGGCCGTAGCTCCCTAAGCAGCCCGCCAGAGTCCTCTGAAAGCCTCTGGAACTCCAGCCCATCCTTCTATAGCTGAGAGCTTCAGTCTCCTAAAAGCATCATGCTACAGGTGCAGGCCCTCTACCTCGCATGCACACTGGACCCCTGTCGGGTCCGCTGCTGGCTTCTCTCACTATCACTGCTGAGGCTCCCTGGACCTGACCACACCGCACCCTGCCCCGCCTGCTTCCCAATGCTCCTGCTCTCCCCCTCTGCTCGTGTGTCTTGGCACAAAAGACAGCAAGAGTCTGCACATCTGAGTTGGATCGTGCCCTCCCCCCTCCCAAACCCCTGTGTCCCTCAACTCTCCAGGCAACACCCACTCAAGGCTTTGCCCCGGCTGCCCACTCTGCCTGAATGCTGCTCCCTAGAGCCCTGACTGGCTCAGCCCTCGTCTCCCTCAGTCTCTTCCAAGCTCCTCATTGTCTCCTTCAGCCTTCCTCCTCCTCACCCATCATCCGATACAACCACTCGTGTTTGATCCCTCCCTTGGGGACCTGAGCTCTGAGCATGGACTTGGGCTCACTGCAGAATCCCCAGAACCCACGGCGGGGTCAACACCGCAAAGGACCTGTGGAATGTGCTGAAAAACTTTCGTTCACCACCCTTGTCAACAACGCCAGGGATGCGGCCTGAAGCAGACCCAACGGGGACACCAGGGAGAAGAGCACTCACTGCAGCACGCAGGTGATGGTGGGGGAGTGTCTCCAGTACCGGTACAGGGACACCTGCAGAGTTGGGTGGCACCTGTACTCCTTTAACACACTGCGGGCACTGCGAAAGAAGCGTGCCCAGGTTAGCAAGCAGCATGACTGCTCTGCTCGCTGCAGCTGGGCTCGGGGCCGCAGCAGGGCGGTGGCAGGCAGCCGGGGCACCTACTCCTTAAACTTGTTGGTCAGGAGCAGGAACTGGTTCCTCGTGAGCCGCCTGACATCGAACTTGCAGAGATTCTGGAACTCACAATAGACTTGCTGCTCGCTGACCCCGGGCCACCTCCGGATGCTGACGATGAGGATGGGAGGTCGGACGCTGGGGTAATCTGGGCCAGAAAAGTTCTAGAATCATGAAGAACAAGAGAGTTTCCAAAAATCTTACTGCCATCAGACACTATCTGAACATACTGAGGAGTAGAGGCAAGGCTCTATTTAACAAGAAGGGAGGAGGAAGGAGGGGAAAAAGGGAGTGGGATAAAGGGAAGGATGAGTCCATCTGTGTTTTGGCAGAAAAAAAAATCATGAAGAAATAAAAAGCGCTGTGAAGCCAGGCACTGGTGGCTCACATCCTAGACAGGCAGGAGGCTGCAATCTGAGGACTGCGGTTCAAAGTCAGCCTGGGCAGAAAGGTCTGTAAGATGCTTAACCACTCTCCAGTGGTCGAGTGCCAGCCATGAGTGGAAAGCCAGGCAAGGGCAGAAAGCCCTGAGTTCACACTCCAACACCAGCCCTCCCCAAATAAAATCATGAGAAGTGTGATCTGTCCCTCCCCCCAGCTCTACCTGCTGCTCCTGAACCTCTCTAGCACACACACCCCACCCCGGGAACACCCGAACAGAACAAAATCTACGTACAATTTTGGGGACCCCAGCTCGGATGAGGTTCACTTGGTTCACATAAGGAGTCAGCACGCCGAGGTACTGCGGGAAGGAGGGCTCAGGCACGGGGGCATTGCTGCAGACAGAAAACCCAAAGCATTCAGGCTTAGAGGCTTTCCCGTGTCCTCAGCCAGGGCTCAGGACCTGGTGGCAGAACAGAGAAGGGACACTGTCTCGGGGCCTTCTTCCTCCCGCCCCTCACAAGTCTTGGGGCTCCTGACAGTGGGTTCCCACACACACACAAGCAAAGCAACTTGGCCCAAGAGCATCTAAGACACCATCAGCTGGTGACATCTGGCGAGGATCCACAGTGGCCACAGGCTCAGAGCAGGAGAGGTCACGGTGCAGGGGAGCCCCACTTCCTCACTGCTGGTTCTAAATGGCTGTCCTTGCCCATGGCCTCTTTTCTACCACCAGCCCTCTCTGTCCAGGGGTCACCTTGAGAAGTACAGGCCAGGGAGCTAGACAGGTCTGGATGGCCACAGACATCCCTAAACCAAGGCAGGTGTTCAGGGCTTGAGGACTAAAAGAACAGAAGGCCCAGGCACCAAGGTGTTCTATTGCTGGCAGATCTGTCCCACCCAGGACAACCATCTACTGCTGGGCAGCAGGACGCTGCAAAGCCACAGGAGAGCAGGAGGTGGGCGGGCAGCTTCCTGGTGTAAGCTATAAGTGGCATAGGTATTTCTCACATCCACTGCCAAAATGGATGAACACAAGCAGCGCTCCAGTTAGAGTACAGATTAGATCGTGCATTTCTAAATCAGTCCTGAAGAACAGGCTACAACTGTGATTAGCTCCAGCCCTGAGCCTGTGATGTCCTACGGAACAAATGCACACCTAGGATGGTCCGTACTGGAGGCGGCAGGATACTACCCCACGGGGAATGCTGTTAAAGTTCTGGTTTGGAGCTACATGGGAGGGTGCTTTATTCAAAGTCTCCCCCCAGCTTTGTGAAACCCAATGATGTGTCTTCTCCTCGGCTATGTGAATACACATAAATAACTAATAAACACACCAAGCTGATGTTCTAAAGGTGTTAGAATACAAATCAGAGCTGGGCGCCAGTGGCTCATGCTTGTAATCCTAGCTACTCAGGAGGCTGAGATCTGACGACTGCGGTTCGAAGCCAGCCTGGGCAACAAAGTCTGTAAGACTCTTATCTCCAATTAACCACCAGAAAATCAGAAGTGGGGCTGTGGCTCATAGTGGTAGAGGCTAGCCTTGAGCAAGAGCTCAAGAACAGCACCCAGGCCCCAAGTTCAAACCCCATGACTGACCAAGAAAAAAATAAAAAAAAGAATACAAGTCAAACCTGACTGCTTGGGTCCCCTGACATTCAAATTCTCCAAATGCGGAGATCGAGGGAGGAGGCTGGGGTGGCAGGAAAGGGCTATTTGTCTACAATATGTTAGCTGTTGCCTGGGCCCAAAAGAGATGAGCACACACACACCATTGCACATCCTGCCTTCTTTCTTGAGCTGGCCTCCCTTCTTGGGAGGTCCTGGCTTACAACACAGACTTGCCAAGCCCTGGCCATCGACTGGCAGGACACGAGGAAAGACACTCACCTGTGCACCCTCTGTAGGAGCAAGTGAGCCACTTTCAAAAGAACTAGGAAAAAAACAAAAGCTGAGATTTAACAGACTTCAAGGCCGTGTGGAAGTAGGCAAACTCTGGCTCGTGAATCAGCCTAGGGGCTGAGCCCATTAGAGAAGTCGCTTTCTAAGGAACAGCAGCTCTTACCTGACCCACAGAGGAAGGCGTCGTAAGCTGCTTCGTGGGGGCACTTTGTCTTGGCTGAAGCGTTTTTCCGTAAGTAAGAGAGATACTGAGCAGCCATTAGAAACAGGGCCTGGGAAAGAAGTCTCTCCCCGCCCCAGTTCAGTGTCCGTGGCAGCCGTGGCACATCTGACCCCCCCACTGCCACAGGGGTCATGTTCCCTATTCACAAACACGCTTCACTTCATCTCCATCCTCCCCACGTGGGAATGACAAGCGCCCAGAGCTTCCAGACTGATCTATACCCCACATCCAGAAGGAAACAGACAGCTCCCTGGCTGTGCCTGGGAGTGCTTGTCTGGAGGACAGGGCTGGAAGGCTGTGGAGGAAACCCACAGGAACCTCCACCATCTGCTGCCTGGGAGACCAGGACCGAGAATGCCTCAGCTTGGCCCCGTTGTACTTTGCCAATAGTATAAGGAGCCAGAGCTGGTGGGAACATACCGTATCTTTCACACTTGCTGGCATGAACAATCACAGGTCCAGAATTCTTTGTGGGATTCAAGTTACTGAGAGAAAAAAAAAATAGGTAAAGACACACACACACACACACACACACACACGCACGCACACACGCACGCACACACACGCAATCACGTACACAAAATCCCCTTACTCTCCCCTGAGACCTGTAAGCTTTTTTGTTTTGCTTTGTTTTGTGTTGGTCATGGGGCTTGAACTTGTCCTGAGTGCTGTTCCTGAGCTCTTCAGCTTAAGCACTCTTCCACTTGAGCTATAGTGCCACTTCTGGTTTTCTGGTGGTTAATTGGAGATGAGAATCTCACAGAGGAGCTGGGAAGGTGGCTCAGTGGTAGAGCACTTGCCTTGCATGCATGAGGCCCTGGGTTCGATTCCTCAGCACCACATAAGCAAAAAAAAAAAAAAAAGCTGGAAGTGGTGCTGTGGCTCAAGTGGTAGAGCACTAGCCTTGAGCTAAAGAGCTGAGGGACAGCGCCTAGGTCCAGAGTTCAGGCCCCACGATCGGACCCCCCAAAAAAAATCTCAGACTGGGCTGGGAAGGTGCTCAGTGGTAGAGTGCTTGCTTCACATGCATGAGGCCCTGGGTTCCACATAAACAGACAAAGCTGGACGTGGCACACTGGCTCCAGTGGTAGAGTGCTAGGCTTGAGCTGAAGAGCTCGGGGACAGCGTCTAGGCGTAGAGTTCAAGTCCCACAACTGACACACACAAAAAAAGAATCTGATAGACTTTCCTGCCTGGGATGCATATGAACCATGACCATGATCCTCAGATCCTTCTGAGTGGCTATGAGTACAGGCGTGAGTCACCAGCACCCAGCAGTCCCTTAAGTTTGTCCCCAACCAGTTTTTTTTTGTCATCAGACAGATGTCTTGATGACAAAGCAACAAGAGCAAGATCAGCAGGCAAGAGGCCCCAACCAGGCTACCCTGGGCAGAGGCAGCCCAAGCCCAGGCACCAAGACAACCCAGTCACCAAGACAACCTAGGCACCCTCTGCTCTCCAGAGCTTGCCCTCTGGTGGTCTGAGGGATAAACATGGAGGTGACGGCACATGCACTGTAATTGCCACACTGAGGCCCAGACAGAGACGCAGGGTCCCACGGGCTGTGGCACTGGGAAGGCAAGTTTCATGAGGCCCATGGTTCTAAAGAGGCACATGGAGGAGGGACTTCACACGTGGAGGAGGGACTTCTGAAGCAGAATTGTAGAGATGAAGAAACAGAGGAACAAATACAAAGCCACCGTACCACACATCCACCCCTCACCCACCAGGGGAGAGAATTCCAGAGTACAACACAGCCAAGGAAAGAGGAGACCTGGGATCTCCCGTGGCGCAGGTGTGACCGCTGCTCAGGACTAGGTGCCACGCCCTTTCCCAGTGCCTACCTGCAATGTTCTGTCAGAGACTACCACAGACAAGCGTGTACCGGGGTGCCCTGCAGAGGGCACCTTGTGAGGAGTGTGAAAACCTGCCAGCAGTGAGGGGAGAGGGGCGTGCCTGTGTCACAACGCAGTCACTGGCAATAGCGGGTCTTAGGCATCTCATGGTGACTTCGTGCCAGCCTACCTCCTTCCTCCTACCCGTCACACACACACACACACACACACACACACACACACACACACACACACACACACTCCACCACAAACCTCTGCCCACACCACAGGGTTACGAGAGAGCCAGAACAAAGGGTCAGAAAAGGATTGAAGTTTAAAGTGTGGACGCTGAGAGAAATGAGGAGAGGAAAGGCTGAGGGGCTAGGAAGGAGGCCGGGGAGTAGAGGGAGGAGGTGGGTGGCAGAGGGGCAGGGGTGGAAAGGGCAGCCCTGTCTGCCTGGCCTGGCACACAAAGAGAGCCTGTGTGTGTGACGTGAGACACAAGGAGAAAGTGTCAGTGATCACAAAATGATGAGTAGGGCAGGCGGGCGCTGCCTCTGTCTTCTTGATTTCTTCTTGGAGATGGGCACCGTGAGGTTATTTAAGACAGGGACAGGTGGAGGAAACACCAGGAGCTTGAGGTGTTGTCCCAGCAGTGCTGGGCAGGTACCCATCATGCCCCAAGCACAAGCAGAGCTGAGGCCGCAGACTCTGATCCACAAGCAGCTCCGAAGACCCTTTCGCACCTGTTCAGCACGTCGTAGACTTCTGAGAGATTGGACACCCGTGGGAAATGCAGTTCCTGCAGTTATGGAGAACACAATATTTGTGCCTGCGTGTATCTGCTGCTTTGGGGCTTTAATGTCAGGACCCTAGGATCCTGGGGCTTCCTCCAAGGGCTCCTAGTAGCCAGACTACACCCAAGCTACCCTGACTCCCTCAGCAGGTTTGTTTAGGGGACTCTTCACACACAGGAATCTGAGGCACCATGGAGGCCCATACACACAGAGTAGCAGGCATTCTGGGGACCAGAGGGCCTTCGGGTACCACAAAGGACACATCTAAGATCACAGGAACACATCCCCATTTCTGCAGTCTTTAAAACATTGACCTGATTCTTTTTCTGTTCCGCAGTTCAGTTAGCTCTGCAGATTGTTCCCTTCCACAGGCAGCGCATAATGGAATCACCTGGGGAGCTTTCGGAATAGTTCCTGCCTTCCATCCTGCCCATCCTGCCTTCTATCCTAACCATCCTGGCCTCCATCCTGCAGTGCCGCTGGGGCTGGGGCTGGTTTGTGCTATATCCAGTTCTCATTTGCCATCAGTGTGAGAACCCATGACCTAAAATGGCATTTTCTGAAGACTCTAAGAGGAACCTACTGCGCTGCTTTCCAGGCCCAGCTATCTATGAAATGCGCATCAAGTTCCAAAATCAGTTATCCCGTTGTCCAATCTAAATCAAAACCTGAGAAGGCCCATGAAGGCAGGGAAGAAGAATCCAAACTAGCTAATGAGATGCCCCACAGAGGCCAACATCCACAGGAAACAGACACTGGTTCCCTAAGAGCTCAGGGAACAAAATTCAAAACTGAGCAGAGGGTGTTACCAGTCAGAGCGGTCTTTGCCCAAGCACCATGCCACTCATTACCTTCCAGATGTCCTTCGTCACATTCTTGGTATCAATGAGCACAGGAAATAGGTTGTGGATGTTCTGCTTAAACTGGTCATAACTTTCTGAGGGGAAAGATCCAGACAGTTACAAGTTGGTTAAAAAAAAAGAAGGAATTGTTGTCTAACCTAGTTTGTCACCCCATTGACAAGTAAGGCCAACAAAACAGGATTTGAGAACATCCTACATCCTTAATCCTAATTCTTAAAGATTTCTAATCTGTACCCAAAATACCACTGTGTATGTGTATGTGTAACAGTACTGGGGCTTGAACGCAAGGATTAGCTTTTTTCCTTCAAGGCTGGTGCTCTATCACTTGAGCCATACCTCCACTTCCAGCTTTTTGCTGGTTAACTGGAGATCAAGAATCAATTGGCAGGGCTGGGAAGGTGGCTCAGTGGTAGAGCGCTTGCCTTGCATGCATGAGGCCCTGGGTTCGATTCCTCAGCACCACATAAACAAAAAATTAAAAAAAGCTGGAAGTGGCGCTGTGGCTCAAGTGGTAGAGCGCTAGCCTTGAGTTGAAGAGCTGAGGGACAGCGCCCAGGCCCAGAGTTCAGGCCCCATGACCGGACCAAAAAAAAAAAAAAAAAAAAAAAGAATCTATTGGCTTTGTCCGCCTAGGTGACCCTTGGATCTCACTTGCCGTAGGAGCTAGGATTATGGGCTTGAGCCACAGTGCCTATGCTCCATTACTACTTTTAACTGTAAATGCCAAGCGGTTTTCCATCAAACTCAATACTTGCTATTGCCAACATCAGCTCGTATAGCTGAGAAGCTCTAGCCAGCAACAGGAAAAGAATAAACAAGTTTCTTAAAGAAATTATTAGTAGATGGTAATTGTTCAGGGAAGTTTCATTGAGAACTTTCTATACATTTCTAGGATCTATCCCAACGTATCACAGACCAGAGATCACACGGGACTATGTCCAACCTCTCCAGAAGCTTGTGACAGCAAACAAGGCTAAAAGGAAAGACAATGGCAGGTTTGTTTCTACCTGGAAGAGGTCTGAAGAACTTCTCGTGGAGATGCAGCAGATCCATCATCATATTGTGTCCCACTAAGGGCTACTTGGAGTAAATCAACAAAAAAGAGATGAGATTTAAAAAAGAATGACTGACACCAGCCACTTAATAGCAGTTTCTTACAAAGAATGTAGTGTTGGAGCTGGGAATGTGGCTTAGTGGTAGAGCATGCATGAAGCCCTGGGTTCGATTCCTCAGTACCATATAAACAGGAAAAAGCTACGTGGTAGAGTACTAGCCTTGAGCAAAAGAAGCTCAGGGATAGTGCCCAGGCCCTGAGTTCAAGCCCCAGGACTGGCAAAAAAAAGAGGTAGTGTTATATTCTGCTACAGTTCTGGCCAGCTAACAGTCGCCTCCTCACTCACTCTGCCTCCAAGTAAGGGGTGAGCCTACTTGGAGGGAGGCAGGAAGAAGAGGAGGAAGGCAGGAGAGAGGAGACAGTAAGTAAAGGTAGACAGGCAGGAAGTGATGGTAGGGAGACAGGAAGTAGAGGGAAGGCAGGCAGGAAGTGAGAGAAGAGGGAACTGGAGGGATGAACAGTACTTAAGGCATGGTCCACTGGGAATCTGAACCTTCAAGCAGTTTTGTTGGTGTGTGTGTGTGTGTGTGTGTGTGTGTGTGTGTGTGTGTGTGTGTGTGTGTGTGTGTGTGTGTGTGTGTGTGTGTGTGTGTGTGTGTGTGTGTGTGTGTGTGTGTGTGTGTGTGTGTGTGTGTGTGTGTGTGTGTGTGTGTGTGTGTGTGTGTGTTGGGATCCAGGCTTAAACTCAGGGCCTCACACTCTCACTTGGCTTTTCACTCTACCACTTGACCCATGCTTCCAGCCCAATACTTTTAAACAGTTTTGGATAATTAGCATGGAAGTCCTTTATCACCAAAAGAGACAAAGAAATATTAACATTTTTTTTCCTCTAGATTTTTTTCTGGTAGGTCGTGGGGCTTGAACTTGGCCTGGGCGCTGTTGCTGAGTTCTTTTGCTCAGGGCTAGAGTATATTAACATTTTTCACGTGTAGTTTTTTCCCAAATTACTCCATCGTATTTGGGGAAAGACAGCTGGGTTTAAGCAACCAGTATCAATAAGAAGACAATTGCAAGCCGGGTGCTGGTGGCTCACGCCTGTAATCCTAGCTACTCAGGAGGCTGAGATCTGAGGATCGCAGTTCAAAGCCAGCCCGGGCAGGAAAGACTGTGAGACTCCTATCTCCAATAAACCACCAGAAAACCGGAAGTGGAGCTGTAGCTCAAGTGGTAGAGCGCTCACCTTGAGCTGAAGAGCTGAGGGACAGCGCCCAGGCCCAGAGTTCAAGCCCCACGACCGACAAAAAAAAAAAGGTAATTGCTTATCTTAAAAAATCTCCTTTGGGCTAGGATATAGCTCAGAGACAAAATGCTTGCCCACAAATGCAAAACCATGGGTTCGATCCCCAGAATCAAAGAAACACACACTCACAAACACACACATTAAAAAATAAATCAGTGAAAAAAAAGAAATCTCATTTTATTGACAAAGGGTCCTTCAATACTGAGCTGGAAATACAAAAGACTGTGAAGTGTTTTCCTACCTTCTGGGCTTTTACCAGCATCTGGAAAAAAACAGAAAAGCCCTTGGCAGAGAGAAGAATCTGCTCCTTCCAGCAGCTGGCTCGTTCGCAAGAGGCGTGCTCCAGGTACCAGCGATGCTGTCGACTCACCTTCTTCACTACCACCTGGAAAGAAAACCAGACAAGTTCCCCAGAACGGAGCTTACAGCAATGGCTGTTCATCTCAGGTGAGAGGAAGAATAACAGAAGGGGAAACCTTGAGAGATTAGGCCAGTGAAGAGACAGCTCGGCAGAGGGCAGCCATTCCCAGGGGAAAACTCACCCCCTTCTCCTTCAGCTCTGTCCAGATGTTGGGGAGGGCCTGCCTCAGCACCAATTGGACCTCAAAGGCCTGGAACCCTATGGCAGAGGAAGCACAAAGCACATGGAGAAGCTGGAAGTGCGCTGTAGCCATCCCACCAGAGAAGCCAGAGAGGAGGAGGAACTGAGGGCCTCTGAGGGACTTGGGGATCTCACTTGTGTCAGGGCATGGTCTGCCGGGACATGCCAAGGCAGCATCCTCAAGATTTATGATCACAAGGACGCTTTTGACACCAAAGACTTGTTTCTATGGGCTTCAATTATTGCCATTACCCATGTTCGGAATTAAAATGTTAAGAAAAGACTTCAAGCTGGATGTGGTGGCACATGCCTGCAAACTGAGCTGCTCAGGAGATGAGATCAGGAGATTAGGAGTTGTGGTTTGAGGTCAGCTTAGGCAGAAAGTTCAAGAGAACCATGCCAAGCACTAAAGAGCTGGGTTCAGTGCTATGTACCTGGCATCCTAGCTAAGTAGAAAATGTAAATTAGGAGGACTAAGGTCCAGACTCGTCCATGAAAAAAAAAAAAAAAGAAGCAAGATTCTATTTAAAAAAGCAACAGAAGCAAAAGGACTGGAGGTATAGTTCACGTGGTTCAGTACCTGCCCAGAAAGCATAAGATCCTGAGTTCAAACCCATTTAACCACCAATTAACAAAAAACAGAAAACACTACAAGTTTTTTTAAAGTTAAAAGTAGTGAAAAGAGTGAAATTGTTTCAATGTTTTTGTACATTTCTAACATCTGGCTGGAATTAACATCTGCTTCTGCATTTAATCTGTCTTGATATGTTGTAATCACTGGGTATAGGAAAGAGACCTAGCCTCACATAGATTCTGCTCACACAGATAAAGGAAGAGAGTCACCAGTCTAATCAAATGACTTTGGATCATCTTTTTTTAATACTATGTAACATTCATTGGGTGGCAATTTCTACAAGATAGCTTGTTAAGCCAGACATCTGTGGCCCATGCCTATAATCCTAGATACTCAGGAGGTTGAGATCTGAGGATCACAGTTCAAAGACAGCCCGAGCAGAAAAGTCTGTGAGACTCTTTTCTCCAATAAACCACCAAAAACTAGAAGTGGCACTGTAGCTCAAGTGGTAGAGCACACACCTTGAACTGAAGAGCTCAGGGACAGCACCCAGGCCCAGAGTTCAAGACCCATGACTGACAACAAAATAAAAGCTTGTTATATGAAATTGGCAGCCACAATTAATTTCCTTCCTAGTATTGTTACATTGAGTCAACTGGTCTGTCACACACTTTAGATATTTCCATCCACTGGTTTGTGCTTTAGGTACCACAGGCAGAGTGTTACACATCTCACTACACCAGGTCAATAGAAGACATAGGTATACATCGCTGACTTCACCACAAAGGTCCTGTGTTGGGAGGCTGTCAAGTTTCTGGTGATAGTTCCAGGTTCTTCAAAACTCTTGTTTTTAATTGAAAGCTTAAATCTTATCACTAGCAAACATTCTTGCTTACTTTCCTTAAAGCATGAGACTTACATTTTCTACTTAAGAAAATGATTGAAAATACCTGCTTAAATAGCCATCATTAACATTCTTTCCTGTGACAATGACAGTTCATGGGCAAAAAAAGCAGCAGCTGGGGCTGGAGAAGTAGGCTTGGAGGTAGCCACCTGTGCTAAGTGCATGCGCGCTCACGACCAGCAAGTGCAGCTCTCGAATAAAGACACAATGCTCTTGTTCAACAGCAAGGCTGCCATTCTGCACACTACACTGACACGTGCTATTTAAATAAAAAATGAGCCACAAGAGGCTGAGACTTAGTAGACCTAAGATATTACTTCTAGCAAGGTGCTTGTGGCCCACACCTACAGCCCTAGCTATTCAAGAAGCTGAGATTTGCTGCAGTTCAAAGCCAGCCTAGGCAGGAAAGTCCATGAGACTCTTACCTCCAATTAACCACCAAAAAACTGGAAGTAGAACTATGGCTCAAGTAGTAGAGCACCAGCTTTGAGTGAAACAGAGTGTGGACAGGTCCTGAGGTCAAGCCCCAGTAGTGGTATACACGCACACACGCACACACGCGCGCGCACACGCACGCACACACACACACACACACACACACACACACACACACACGCCTTCAACTTCTGAATTTAGGTCATGTCTTTCTCTAACCGCAAAGACCAGACACTGACTGAGAAAATGGAGCCAGGATCAGCGAGAAGGGAAATGAGTCCCTGGAGTCCTGGTGCACCGCCACCATCATCCCTACTCTCCCAGGGTGAACTGGGGGCCTCCTGCCTACCTGCAATACCAGGCAGAGACATCCAGTCGCCTTCCTCAGCCAGGTCCAGCCACCTCGTCACCTCATCAATCACCACCTTGATGTGGTCTTTATCCAGAGAGCTGAAAATGGGCACAAAAAACATTACAGAAATATTATTACACCAGAATACTAGACACAGTGCCCCACAGGACTGACACAGGCACGGTTACCAGTGAGTTACCCTCAAAAATCTTAGAGAAGATCAAACTGGAGGCCAACACAACCCCGTCAGCAAACACCACCACTACCACTCCCCCACCCCCACCCCATCCCCACCCCCACCCCCTGCCTTGACACTGGGAGGAACCAAACTGCTTCTTTGGTACCAGATGAACAGCCATTCTCTTTTTCCCCAATTTTTGTCAGTTGTGGGGCTTGAACTCTGGGCCTGGGTGCTGTCCTTGAGCTCTTCAGCTCAAGGCAAAAGCTCTACCACTTGAGCCACAGCGCCACTTCTTGTTTTCTGGTGGTTAATTGGAGATAAGAGTCTCAAAGGGGCTAGGAATGTGGCTCAGTGGTAGAGTGCTTGCCTAGCATACATGAAGCCCTGGTTTTAATTTCTCAGCACCACATATACAGAAAAGGCCATAAGTGGTGTTGTAGCTCAAGTGGTAGAGTGCTAGCCTTGAGCAAAAGCTCAGGGATAGTGTCTAGGCCCAGAGTTCAGGCCGCAGAACTGGAGGGGGAATAAAAAGGTCTTATGGACTTTCCTGCCTGGGCTGGCTTTGATCCTCAGATCTCAGCCTCCTGAGTAGCTAGGATTACAGGAGTGAGCCACTGGCGCCTGGTTCTTTTTCCTTTAAACAGCAAAGTCACCCTCCAAGCAGTGGGAAGTTCCCAAGGGAGCTGAGAGAAGGACAGCTGCTCTCATCTGGGGCCGAGTGGACTCTCAACGCTACAGACTGTCCTGCTGGGAGCATGGGCAGCTGAAACCAGTCCCACTAAACACGGATGGCATGACATCACCCACCTGCCCGCGGGAAAACAGCAGCAGGGGAACGAGGGCCTCACCTGCGAACTCTCCAGTTCCCCGTCAGGATGCTGTGCTTAATTTTCTTTTCCTGTTCTTCATTCATATAGGGGATTCCATTTTTGAGAAACTGAGGACAGGAGCAGGACAAGAGACTAGTGAGAGGCAGCACAGTGAAGAGAGCCACATTAGAATGGGAGCAGAGGAGACGGGAGGCCTAGGCCAGTCAGACTGGGCTTGGACATGCCCGCCCCTCCCCCATGCCATACCTTGTTATAGTTGAAGCCATACTGATTCAAAAACTGAACACTGGAAGCCTGGAAAGAGAATTCTGAATCCAAAATCCCAAACGTGGTAGGGAAGAGAAAGAAGTTACATGAATGGGCTACATATCTATTTAAAAAAACAAAAAAAGTTCAAACATAAGGATAAAAAAAACATCAAATAGTGTAATTTTTTTAGAAAGAAAAAGTCAAAGCCCAACAAAATGAGCACCAGGAAATGAGTACATGCAAGGTGGAGGGTTGGGGGGCAAGGGAAGAAAGATAGGTGAAGGGGGGAGGAAGAGACAATGCAGTCAAGAATTCATTGTAAGCCGGGCCCTGCTGGCTCACGCCTGTCATCCTAGCTATTCAGGAGACTGAGATCTGAGGATCACCGTTCAAAGCCAGCCCAGGCAGGAAAGTCATGAGACTCTTATCTCCAATAAACCACTAGAAAACCAGAAGTGGCGCTGTGGCTCAAGTGGTAGAGCACTTGCCTTGAGCTGAAGAGCGCAGGGACAGCGTCCAAGCCCAGAGTTCAAGCCCCAAGACTGACCAAAAAAAAAAAAAAGAATTCATTTTATACACCACAAACCTAAAAAAAGAAAGAGTGGGTGGAAGGGGTGGGAACGCTGAAGGGATGGCATTGATCAAGATGCCCTGTATTCCTAGATTGTTTCATTAAATGGCACTCCCTTTGTACAACTACTTAAAGATAATTTTTCAAAAGATCTCAAACTATTAGGGCTGGGAAGGTGGCTCAGTGGTAGAGCACTTGCCTTGCATGCATGAGGCCCTGGGTTCGATTCCTCAGCACCACATAAGCAAAAAGAAAAAAGCCAGAAATGGCGCTGTGGCTCAAGTGGTAGAGCACTTGCCTTGAGCTGAAGAGCTGAGGGACAGCGCCCAGGCCCAGAGTTCAGGCCCCACAACCAGACCCCAAAAAATAAAATAAAATAAATAAATAAAAAATAAAAATCTCAAACTATTAAAAAGCAAATGAACAACACTCGGACTCATAAAGCAGGCTTCAGAATGCGCTCTGTCTCTCCTTGAGGAAGTACTTGAAGATCCATGTGTTCTTCAAGAAACTGGAGATCAAAGAAAAGAAGACAGCAATATGGCCCTTGGTGAGGAACCCGGGCTTGAGTGGAGGAGGATCTTGCCTTCCACCGCGGGGCTGCTACTCAGCGGGAGCAGAGGCTCGGCCCCCCTGGGCTGCTTCCACGCTGGGCTGTGGATAGACAGTGTATCCTGTCTGACTGCAGGACCTGCGAGCCACCGGAGAGCTTAAACTTCACTCTCCTTCATTGCTTCATGACGGCACACAAGGGACCACGGAACCCAAGGTACAGGGGCGGGTGCCGGGAAAAGTCTCACAGAAAAAATAGTTTGCGTTTTTTTTCTTCTTTGTGTCAGTCCTGGAGCTTGGACTCAGGGCCGGTGGACTGTCCCTAACCTTTTTTGCTCTCAAGGCTAGCACTCTATCACTTGAGCCACAGCTCTACTTCTGGATTTTGGGGAGTTATGTGGAGATAAAAATCTCACAGACATGGGGCTGGGAAGGTGGCTCAGTGGTAGAGCGCTTGCCTAGCACGCATGAGGCCCTGGGTTCGATTCCTCAGCACCACATAAGCAAAAAGAAAAAAAAAGCCGGAAGTGGTGCTGTGGCTCAAGTGGTAGAGCGCTAGCCTTGAGCTGAAGAGCTGAGGGACAGCGCCCAGGACCAGAGTTCAGGCCCCACGACCGGACCCAAAAAAAAAAAAAAAAATTTCACAGACTTTCCTGCCCAGGCAGGTTTCGAACTATGATCCTGAGTTCTCAGCCTCCTAAGCTTAGATTACAGGTGTGAGTCACCAACACCCAGCTAAAGTACTGCTTTAAGAGACATCTGAAGGTTAAGTTGGAATGTACAAAGGTCAGAGCAAGGGGAAAAATCCAGAAAGTAAGGAAGAGACCAGAGTGCCCAAGACAAAAGTAACTCAAGTACCCAAGGCAGAATCTGAAGGCAGAAAAGTTGCAGAACACAGATGGGCAGGGGCCAAATGTTTTCCCAAAGCTCTTTATACATACTTGTTTGACTCTCCTTCAACACTGGAAAACACAGACAATCCTAGAGGAATGACAGCAGATGTAATGAGTTGCAGAAAAAAGCTACCTAAAGTTAACTGCAAAGACAAAGTATTTTGAACAGTGCTTTGTAGCCACAGATACTACTGTGTGTAGAGCAGAATAATACCCTTACTGAAAAATAAAGGGCTGGGTATGGTGGTTCACACCAACAGTCTGCGATTTGGGAGGCTGAGGTAGGAAGATCAAGCATTTGAAGCCAGCCTGGGTTACATACAGTGAGTTCAAGGCCAGTCTGACCAACTTGAGACAGTTTCAAAATATAAATAAAAACAAGGACCAGGATGTAACTCACTGGTATAGAATCACCTACCATTCATGAAACCCTAAATTCTACACCTAGGTCTAAAAAATAAAAACAAAGACAAAGACATACTTTCCAATTGTAATTTTTTTATGATACTAGAGTCTTGAACTCAGGGCCTTGTGCTTGCGACCAAAGCACAAGCCACACCCTCTACCTCAAGCTGTACTTTGTACTAAAATTACTAAAATGTAATTCTAACAAGTTCTTTAAATATAGAAATATTAACAGACTGGATGTATAGTTCAAGTGGAAGAGCACCTACCAAGTAAGTGTGATGAGGACCTAAATTCAAACCCAGTACCACACACACACATGCAAACATGCACATGTGCACACGCACATGCATGGACGCGCGTGTGCACACACACAAATATCTAACACCATTTTTATAGTTTTAGAAATAACCAGAGGAGCCAGGTGCCAGTGGCTCACACATGTAATCCTAGCTACTAAGGAGGCTGAGATCTGAAGATTGCAGTTCAAAGCCAGCTGGGGCAGGAAAGTCCGTGAGACTCTTATCTCCAATAAATCACCAGAAAATTTGAAGTGGGACTGTGGCTCAAGTGGTAGAGTGCTCACCTTGCGCTAAAGAGTTCAAGGACAGCACTCATGAACGACAAAAAATGAATAGAAAAAAAAAAAAGAAATAACCAGAGGAAACTAAAAACTATTAACTAAAAGTCTAAGCTGGGGACTGGAAAGGCGGCTCAGTGGTAGTGTTGGCCTCGCATGCATGAGGCCTTGGGTTCAATTCTTCAGCACCACATAAACAGAAAAAGCCAGAAGTGGCTTTTTCTAGCTAGCCTTGAGCTGAAGATCTGAGGGACAGCGCGCAGGCCCAGAGTTCAAGCCCCATGACTGACCAAAAAAAGAATCCAAAATGTAGAAATATTTGTAGCATCTTGTTTGTGTAACTTTTCGTTTTAAAGAAAAGAAACCACACACAAATTTCACTTGGGAGATGGAGCAGGTGGCAGAAGCTGCTCTCAGCACTGGTTTACTGAGGCATGGAAATATTATCACTATATTTTCTGCTTGCCCCAAAGTATTGATCCCACAAGCATAAAGTATCCCCAAACAGAATACTAACACCTACCATGATAACAATGTCTTTGAAAAAGACCCAAGCTGTTTGTTACACAGAACCACTAAAATACCACTTTTAAAAACTATAAAATACCTCGTTAGACGATTAATAAGAAACTGAACAGACTCACCAATCTGACAGATTGTAAACTGCTGAACACTCTGACGTGTCTTGAGATACCACTCGGATGGCAAATCAAAAAGACTGGACAACAACAACAAAAAAGGCATGTCATTGCAGGCGCAGTTCCAGGCATGGGCCTGCAGGATGGCTTGGCCACTCAAGCAGGAGCCACTTCTTTCCTTGTCACAAGGAGGGCACAGTACCGACACTTATGAACAAAAAGCCGGGTCCCAAAAAGTCCTGCCTCCCCCCACCCCCCGACCCAAACGGTGCCTACTGAGAAACATGCTGGCCTAGCCCGGTCTGGAACAGGGGACAGAGTTGAGTGGCCTCCCAGGGGCTCCAAGACAGCTTGAACTTTACCTGATTTGTTGGGGTCCACACAGATTTGAGCGGAGGCCAGTGAATTCTATGTCCAGACCTGCAGGGGGGCAAGAAAGACAAGAGTCCCCACTGGGAAACCCGCCTCAGGGGGCTGACACTCACCTGTTCACCCTCTGCTCCTGGACCCAGGTGAAGTCAAGAAGGGAGAAACAAGGAGCCAAACTCAGGACGGGCCAGGCCGCCCCTGGGCCTCTGCGGGGGTGTCTGGCCAGCAAGGGGCATGGGGGGCTGCTTAACGCCCCCTGTCCGGGCTGGAGCAGAAACCTCCGTGTCCTTCCGGGGGCTGAGCCCCGGGCCCGCAGACCCCTCCTGCCCCGACCCGTCCCCACCCCCTGCCTCAGCCCCCCGGGGCCGGGCTCTCTGACCACCAGGCCCTCACCCCCGGAGCCGTACCCACGAAGTCGGCGTCCAGGACCAGCTTCTGCAGCAAGGGAAGGGTCTGCTCAAAGTCATCGGCACAGACGTCCATGGCGGCTCGGCCTACGGAGGCCGGCCGGGCGCCCTGTGCGCCAGCCGCGCCACCCACGCCACCCTCACGCCGCCTCCACCCCGCCCAGTGCACGCGGGACCCCACCCACCCATGCCTTGTGAGAACCTGGGGGGACGGGAAGTCCCGCCCCGCGCTGACGTCCCTGCCAGCACGCCAGCAGCCAGCACGCCAGGCTGCTGAGGGGCGGGGCGTCAAAGGGCGGCTGCGGGGGGGGGGGGGGGGGGGGGGGGGGAAGGGGCGCGGACCACCGGATATAGGGAGGAGGGGTTCCGGGGTCGGAGATGAGAGACAAGGGTGCTACCAGAAACACATGGGACTCGGCCCTCGGGCCTGAAGGGAGACTCGGGCCGGAAGAGAGGCCGGGGGGATGCCAGGCTGGCCTGAGGGGAGGCCCGGGCCGGAAGAGAGGCCGGGGGGATGCCAGGCTGGCCTGAGGGGAGGCCCGGGCCGGAAGAGAGGCCGGGGGGATGCCCGCGCAGAGCAGAGAGGCAGGTGGAGAGGTGGGAAGGCCTGCGGAGATCAGAGAGGCCTGCGGAGAGTGGGAGAGGCCCGTGGAGAGGCTTGCAGAGTCAGAGAGGCCCACGGAGGTCAGTAAGGCCTGCAGCGATCCAAAGGCCATGGGAAGGAGGAAAAAGAAAACTTGCCCTCTTGGAGGTAGTTGCAGACCAACTAATAAAACCCCTTGTCACCTTTAACTGTGCTTCCGTGGATCTTCTGGCTCACGGGTTATTACAGCCTGACCCCAAGGGAGGAGTTGCAGGTGGCGGCCACCTTAATCTGAAGGTGAAAGCTGTTGGTGATCAAGAGCTGCCCGGCTGGATTGAAGGTGACCTCGGTGCCCAAGGCCAAGCTAACGTGCCCTTAGGCCTGCAGAAGTTCCTCCTAGGGGGACGCAGTTTTTAATATGTGTCCAGTGACTAGTCCATGATTGTCTTTACATGCTATCCTTGAATTCTAAACTTCTGTTTGTACTGTCTTCTAGATCCTTGGTCTTCAAAGTGAAGTACTTCAGTCAATATTTAAGGTGAGAGAAGAAAGAATTGGAATGAACAAAGCTGTCTCCACCAAGACTTTACTGAGAAAGGGAGGCTACTAAGCCATCGAATACTAAATGCCTAGAATGAGGCACAGTGCTCTAAAAACCACTTTAAATGGGTACAGGCTTTTTTTCCTCACACAAATCAAGTAGCTGGAAACCCTGAATACTTTCAGTGTATGTAATCAACTCCCAAGCTCCAGTTGGCTTGCTTTTCCTAATTCTCACCTAGTCACAACCCAGCACTCTGCCCCTCAGTGTCCACCTCCAGTTGCAGCTCCCCACTGCCTGCCTTTCATCTTCCAAATGTACCTCTCTAAACAGTAAATCGGGCCTAAGGGAGCATAGTATGAACTTTTTTTTTTTTTTTTTAAACTCAAGACCTGGGCTGTTTCTGAACTCTTGCTCAAGGCTAGTGCTCCATCACTTTAAGTCACAGCTAAACGTTTTTTTACATGGTAAACTGGAGACAAGTCTCAGACTTCCCCACCTGGACCAGCTTTGAACTGCAATCCTCAGGTCTCAGCCTCCTGAGTAGCATGTACTGCTTTTATCTTCGTGACTAAGATTGTTTTCTAACTGTATGCTTAAATGACTCCTGCTTTAAAAAGAACAAAGGAATGGGAATGTGGCTTAGTAGTAGAGTGCTTGCTTAGCATTCCTGAAGCCCTGGGTTCCATTCCTCAGTACCACATAAACAAAAGAAACCTGAAGTGGTGCTGTGGCTAGCCTTGAGCAAAAGCAGCTTAGGGACAGTGCCCAGGCCCTAAGTTCAAGCCCCAGAACTGGCAAATAAATAACTAAATAATAGCCCATACCCTGAGCATCAAACAATTCCCACTTACTGAGAGCACGTGCCATGATAAGCTACGCACAGTAATGAGTAATTCTCACAACCACACTTGCATAATCTTGCCACAGGAAGCTCACAAGAAATCTCACAGAACCAGAAAATAAAGAGTTACTAATATACTTTTATTTTGTAACTTACAAACAACTTTGCCTTCAAATAGTTAACATGTCATTGATGATCATCTCCCTTAGATACTGTGAGATAGCTTAAGTATCTATGGACACTTAATAGGGTCAAGAAAGGAGAAAAAATAGCCTTGATTAAAAATGATTCTAGAACCATACACAGATAAGAAGAACAAGGAACCCTAACTACAAATCATCTTCCTCTGTTACATTATTGCTCTCAACTCCATGCTGCTTGTTCTTCTAAATGCTTTCTTTGAATGGCTGCAGTAGCTGTCTTATATGTACACATCCAAAATAATGCTGCTTTTTACTCATAGATTCTCCGAGGTTCCTTCAGTACCACACCACCTTCTGTCATGGCATTCTGTAGGCGTTTCATCTGGTTTTGAAGATCAGGAATAGAAAAAAAGGTTAAGTCAGCACTCAAGAAAGCTGAAAATTACTGGAGACAAGCTTAGGCTCTGAGTTCAAGCCCCAATATCAACAAGAAAAACAAAAAAGGTTGCTTTCTAAGAGAAAAAGAAACTGATTTGCTCTTATACAATTCTCACATAGAAAGTACTTGGGAATCATAATATCCAACGTCAAGAGTTAACACAATCATGCCTTTGATATTTGTGTGTCTGTGTGTTCCTGGGGAATGTACCCAAAGGCTCGTCATGTTGGGCATGTGCTCTACCACTAAGCTTACAGCCTTAGTCCTATGATATCTTTTATTTTTTTAATTTTTTTTTTGGTCCAGTCGTGGGCTTGAACTCTGGGCCTGGGCGCTGTCCCTCAGCTCTTCAGCTCAAGGCTAGTGCTCTACCACTTGAGCCACAGCGCCACTTACGGCTTTTTTCTTTTTTGCTTATGTGGTGCTGAGGAATCAAACCCAGGGCCTCAGGCATACAAGGCAAGCGCTCTATCACTGAGCCACCTTCCCAGCCCCCTATGGTATCTTTTAAAAGTAAGCAAAAGCAAAAATACCGAATCTGAGGCTGCCTCCCATGGGGTTGGTTGGTAGACCATGAAGTTGATGCCTGCCTCCAAGCAACGCTGGGCCAGCACTCGTCCTATACTCTCACAAGCCACCACATTTTTGGTGCTGTAAAGGTGCTTTTTAATAGCCCATTCCCGGGTGGATGCTGAAACCACAACCTGGCCATTTCGATGCTCAACAATCCCTTCTACATGATGCTGAGTCCTTATAACTCGTAACCTAAATAGGACAAAAAGAGAATAAAATTGTAAAACACCCAACCAAAAGTTAAATGACTTCAGCTCAACATCTACTTCTTAAGAATTCAATGCTTAATTTACTTCAACATACTTAATCTAGATTTCACTTGGAAAAGGTAAGCTTCCTCTTTAAGAGCCTTTGTGAAACTATACTCAAGAATAAAAAACCACTCACACGTAACTTCAAGCACAAATAAAAAACTTGGCTTTTTTTTTTGGTCGGTGGTAGGGCTTGAACTCTGGGCCTGGGCACTGTCCCTCAGCTCTTCAGCTCAAGGCTAGCACTCTACCACTTGAACAACAGTGCCACTTCTGGTTTTCTGAGTGGTTTATTGGAGATAAGAGTCTCACAGAGTTTCCTGCCCGGGCTAGCTTTGAACCTCGATCCTCAGCTCTCAGCCTCCTGAGTAGCTAGGATTACAGGCGTGAGCCACCAGTGCCCATCTTAAAGTTGGCATTTCTGAAGAGCTTTGCTTATTTACTTAGCTGCTTTATAAAAAGTTGAAGCTGCTGATTATGACTTTATGACTGGATAAAAATATGCTTTTATTTTCCAGTGAAAAGGAAAACAAATGCAGCAAATCTTAAAGGTAAAAATGAAAATCATAAGAATACTAGAAGATCCACACCAGTAGCTCATGCCTATAAACTTAGTACTTAAGAGGCTAAGATCTGATGATTGAAGTTCAAAGCCAGCCCAGACAGGAAAGTCCATGAGATTCTTCTCTCCAGTTTTCCAATTAACTACCAGAAAAGCCAGCAGTGGAGGTGTGGCTCACTCAAGTGGTGGTGTGCTAGCCTTGAGAAAAAAAAAAAAAAAGCTAAGGAAGAGTAAATGCTCAGGCCCTGAGTTCAAGCCCCAATACTGTTATATAAAAGAAAAATGACAGCAACAATGTCAAATAGCTTTAATAAAAGAGATGGACAAAATTTCTGCATGGTTAAAAAGAAAAGGAAAAAAACACCCACTAGACTGAGCCTGAGCATGGTGGTACATTAATCTCAGCCCAGGAGAAGCTAAGGCAGGAAAATCACTAGCTCAAGGTCAGTCTGCATTACACAGAGATCTCAAGGATAGCCTATGCTATATCAAGATCCTATCTCAAAAAAAAAATTATAAAAACCAAAAAACAAGCAATAAAAAATTAACACATATTCTTCAAAGGGCTAATTTCCGTAATATATTTCTTATTAAGAAAAACGACCAAGCTGGGCACCGGTGGCTCATGCCTATAATCATAGATACTCAGGAGGCTGAGATCTGAGGATTGTGGTTCAAAGCCAGCCTGGGTAGGAAAGTCCGTGAGACTATCTTCAATGAACCACCAGAAAACTGGAAGTGGTGCTGTGGCTCAAGTGGCAGAGCACTCACTTTGAACCGAAGAGCTGAGGGGCGGCACATAGTCCCAGAGTTCAGTCCTCACAACCAACACACACACACACACACACACACACACACACACACACACACACACACACACGAAAAATGACCAATAACTCTCTATGAAATGGAGGGTCTCAGTATCTCTGAGGCCTTTTCCTATTGGCTTTATAATCAAAATATTTTTTGAATATTTCGAAATTCTCTGATAAGATGGTTAAGAAGGCCAGACAGGGATGGAAAAGGATCTGCAGTTTAAATGATCCAAACTATGTGAAAGTAAAGTACTAAGCTTAGTATTCAATAAGATTCTAAGGCTTAGGATCCAGATTATTTCAAAGTGAATTCCCTTACATCCTTTCTTTGACTCTTCCCTGTTTACTACGTTAACTACCTAAAAACATATTATACCACTATAACAGTGATCCCTAGTCTACCTTCCACTATAAAACTATGAAAGACTTTTAGTAACTGAATCTTCTACACCAATATAATGCCTTGTAAATGTACAGGCTATATGTCCACCTAATAAATAATGCTGACATCTAACTTAACTTTAAATACTCCTTACAAATATTTATTTCTAATAAATCCTCACCAAGGAAAACAAGCAGCAGATAAAAAACCTACACACTGTAGCATAGTAGTGAAAATTTTATGTCCTGCCACTAAGGTTATATAGGTCATGTATCTTAGCTCTGTCACTTATTAATCCTGTCTCCTTCAGCTTCAATTTCCTTGCCCCTGTAAAATGGAGAAAGTTATTATATCTGCTTCATAACATTCTTTTAGGAGAAAACATAATTAGAGCAACTAGGTATAGAAAAAGTTGTCAATAAACAACCATCTTGGGGTGAGAGATACAGCTTTAGTGATAGAAGATTTGCCTATTGTGTTCAAAGCCCTGAGTTCAAGCCGGGCGCCGGTGGCTCACACCTGTAATCCTAGCTACTCAGGAGGCTGAGATCTGAGGATCGAGATTCAAAGCCGGCCTGGGCAGGAAATTCCCTGAGACTTATCTCCAATATACCACTAGAAAACCAGAAGTGGCACTGTGGCTGAAGTGGTAGAGCACCTGCCTTGAGCTGAAGAGTGCAGGGACAGGGCCCAGGCCCAGAGTTCAAGACCGATCCAAAAAAAAAAAAAAAGCCCTGAGTTCAAACACAATATCCTCAAAAAGAAAGAAAGAAAAGAAAAATCATCTTTATACATAAATGAATAAAACCCACACATATTTTTATACAAGGAAATTTATAAAGGAATACAAATTCTCAAACATATAGATATGAAAATTTGTTCTATTTCACTATTAATTTTATTTTTATTATTTTTTTTGGAGGGGGGGTCCAGTCGTGGGGTCTGAACTCTGGGCCTGAGTGCTGTCCCTCAGCTCTTCAATTCAAGGCTAGCACTCTACTACTTGAGCCACAGTGCCACTTCCAGTTTTTTGTTTTCTGCTTATGTGGTGCTGAGGAATCGAACCCAGGGCCTCATGCATGCAAGGCAAGCACTCTACCACTGAGCCACCTTCCCAGCCCTCACTATTAATTTTAAAAAGTAGCAATGCTAACTTATCACAATATACATGTATTAAATTAGTAAAATTTTTATTAGTATAAATTAACCATACAAAGGGATTTCATTTACATACATGCGTCTTATGTACCTTTATAAAATTTACACTGTTAGACTGATGCTGGTGGCTCATGTTTGTAATCCTTGCTATAGAGAGTAGCTGAGAGCTAAGGTTTGTGGTTTGAAGATAGGGCAGAAGTTTATGAATCTCTTTTATCTTAACCACAAGAAAAAAACTTATCCTGTTCTATCTCTATTATTCTTCCTCAATTGTACTCTCTTCTCCCAGCAATACTTTTAACTGGTCTTCAATTTAGCTCCCTTACCTCAACAATGTATTCTCCCTGAAGCAGATATGGATACAATAATTGTTAAACAAGCTTATGAATAAAGGAGAGTAAGGAAAGAGAGTGAGCAACCAAGGGGGTTAATGTGATTGTAACATAATACATGTATGTTTGAAATACCATGGTTAAACCCCTTTGTATAATTAATGCACACACACAAAAATGACAAAGTAAAACAAGCTCTGGTAGTTACCAACTGGAAAGTATGGTGTAAGTGCTTTATACAGACATAGGAAAACACAGTAAGATACCTGTTGGAAACACTGTATGGAAATATCACAGTGATCTCCTTGAATAACAAATGTATTATCTTCTTATAGTTTCCCCAGGCAGTTAAAAAGACAACCTCAGGGCTGGGAAGGTGGCTCAGTGGTAGAGCGCTTGCCTTGCATGCCTGAGGCCCTGGGTTCGATTCCTCAGCACCACATGAGCAAAAAGAAAAAAGCCGGAAGTGGTGCTGTGGCTCAAGTGGTAGAGCGCTAGCCTTGAGCTGAAGAGCTGAGGGACAGCGCCCAGGCCCAGAGTTCAGGCCCCATGACCGGACCAAAACAAAAAGACAACCTCATATTTTATCTTAATTTACAAAGCTCATAACCTATCTCCTACCTCTTCTTCTATCTTCATACTGCATCATTAACCTCACATCCATCAAAGTTCAGGTACAAAGGCCTGTCAGTTCCCAAACACATCACGTTCACTCCCCTTCCAGCAGTTTCTCTGCTCTAAAGCTCTATTGACAGATAATTTCTCTGGGATTTTACCATTCTCAATGTCACCTACTCTGAGAAGCCGCAGTAAGTACCCAGTTCCTAATCTAAGTTCTTTCCAGGACACCTGTTAATTGCCCAGGAGAAGCACCCCCTCCCTAAGCCGCTACTGCAAGCTGGGCCTCCCCAGAGTATCCTGGGCTGAAGGAGCTGATGACAAGTTCGCCGGGCGCCGGGCACTGCCAGCAGACCTATTACCTGTGCCAGAACTCCCGCGAGGGCCACACGGTCCTCCAACCTCGTTCCTTCCTGGCCACTGCCAAGAGCTCCAGGTTTCGGGGATTCCTGTTGGTGAACTCGGGGGCGACGGCTTCGTTTTCCGAAGGCTGCTCGGTAGGGCTCCCGGCCGGCGTGGAGCTGGAGAGGGCGGCGCAGGCCCGCTCTGGGAAGGGCGAACCGCCAGACCCGTCAAGGAAGCGGCGCGCGCCGGGCGGACCCCACCCCGCAGGCGGGTCTGGAAGGAGGGGGAAGGGGAGCGGCCCTCAGCCCCCGACCTTCACTTTCTGCCGTCACCCCAACGCCGGCGGCGCTTCCGCGTTCCGACGGGACTCGTGCACCCCCAAGTTAAAACTGGACTCGCAAACCAGCGCGTACCGAGCAGGACCGGGGCGGGCTGGGGGGGCCGGGCGGATTACCTAGGCTCCTGCAAGCCGAAGGCAATTTCCAGAACCGCAGCTGCAGCGCCATCGCTGAGGGGGGCTCACCCGAGCCTCGCCTTCCTTCGTCCAGAGCCGTCCGGCGGCTAGGTGGCCGCGGCCATTCCGGCTCTGGGAAAAAGCCGTAGGGTCCCTCGGACCACAGGAACCTTCAAGGCCCGGAACCAAAAAAGATCCCGGCCTCTGAGTGGCCGGGAGGTCATCTCTGCTCCGCCAATCATCGCTGACGTCGGAGCGCAAGCCGGTCTGGAGGCGACCAATCCTGTCGTAGCAACGGGAGAGGGCCGGACGACGTTCGCCCTGGGCGCTGCTTTGCGCACAGGTTCCTCCACGAGGGACGCCGGGGTCTGAGCCCGCTAGGTGCTCAGCGTAAGCTGGTCCTGCCGTGTGCACACGCGCATCTGACAGCTGCACCGGGGTTGCACTGATAACCTTGTCAGGACACTTTTCTTCTCGAAAAAGGCGAGACGTTTCCGTCCGGCGCGGGGCAGCCTTCCTCCATCCCACCCAGGAACCGACGTCCCCAGAGCCAAGCCTGCCGATTGGCCTCCGGCTGCCTGCTCAGGAAGTCCGAGGGCCTTCCCTTCCCTTTCCTACCACAAGTACACCCCGAGCCCCGCCCTACTCCCACCTCTTCTAGAAGGTACTAGAATATGCAAGGAGCAAACGCGACCCGGCCGGGAGGGCGGACCAAGAGAAGTACTTCCTCCTTCCGGCGGCCCCCGAGCCTGACTCCCGGGGTCTACTTTCGCGCCCTTCTCATTCGGCCTCTAATTTGACCCAAAAAGAAAAAAGCCCGCCCCCTTCTAAGTTCCTCACTTCCGGCTAGTTCATCTCTCCCCCCCCCCGTTCCGGAAGTGCCTCGCGGCTGGGTGTGGGAGGAAGGAAGCGGGCGGGGCGTGCGGCCCACAAGCCCCTGCGGCGCCGCTGGAGCCCTCCTCACGCCGTCGCCGCCGCGCTCGTGTCCGCCGCCCGGCCTAGGAGCCGAGATAAACGGTAGAAGTCGCACGCGTGGCCCGCCGTGAAGATGGAGGGGCCCTTATCTGTGTTCGGGGACCGCAGCACCGGGGAAGCGATCCGCTCCCAGAACGGTGAGGGCGGGAGAGGCGAGGCCGGCCCGCGGGCGGCGCGCAGGCCGATCCCGGCCTCCGGGGCCCCTCGCGGCTGGGCCGCCCGCCGCCTTTCCACCGCCCCTCGGCTTCCAGAAAGGTCCCTCGGCCGGGGCGGCGTCCGTGCGCGTACGGGCGGGGTGCGGGGACGCGAGCCCGGGGCTCCGGCGCTCCTGCGCGCGCCCGCCCCGCCTTTGTTCTGGCGGCGGCGCGGCCCCGCGCTCGGCTCCGTTTGCTGACGGGCAAAGGCCCGCGGAGCCAGCGCCAGCGCCTGCGCCCCGCGCCCCGCGCCCCGCCGCTCCTCACACGGCCCCCGGCTCGGCAGAACCTGCCCTGACGCGTTCTTAGAGCCGAACTGAGATGCTGCGTGGACATGAGGAAGAAGGAGGCGCCGACGAAAGCGGCAGTTAGCGAGTCATTTGTGATCGGAAGTGGAGCTTCATTCGGGAGCCCTTCGCTTCGGAATCACGTGCCTGACTCGATGACCCTTTGGGCCTTGCTATTTTTGCTTGGACGAGTGGGAAATAAAGCTTGCACCATTCGCTGGGTCTGAAGGACAGGCTGATGCCTTGCCTCTCCCCCCTCCCCTCGTGACATTTCTGACCTGATTTCTCTAAAGTCCATTATGGAAAACACTCGACTTGAAACTGGCTGGCCCCCAATAATTTGAGAAACAGAAAGGATATTGATAGGCTTGAGGGATTTGAAAGGCTGTCAGGTGTCTTTTAATCTTTAGATTTGGTTTTAGGCAGTAAGATTTTTCTAATTTTACCTTTCTCAATTGGTTACAGTTATGGCTGCAGCTTCCATTGCCAATATTGTAAAAAGCTCCCTTGGTCCGGTTGGCTTGGACAAAATGTTGGTGGATGATATTGGAGTAAGTACGTGTAACTGTTAGTTGCGTTAAAGGAAAAAAGACCTTGAATATACCTTTTCTCCTAAACCTGGATATTAGAAAGTGTATTTGGTTTTTTGTCGGTTGTAGGGCTTGAGCTCAGGGCGTGGACGCTGTCCCTGAGTAAAAGAGCTCACGGATGGCACTCATCACTTGGTGGCACAGCGCCACTTCTTTGGGAATTGTATAAAGCCCAACGGGTACCTTCATAGATGTGTGCTGATTCAGGTGATAGCCTGCATTTGCAGGGGATCTGTGCTGACCGCTTTTCCGTTGGCTTTCTCAGGATGTAACCATTACTAACGACGGTGCGACCATCCTGAAGTTGTTGGAGGTGGAACACCCTGCAGCTAAAGTTCTCTGTGAGCTGGCTGATCTGCAGGACAAAGAAGCTGGGGATGGGACCACTTCTGTGGTAGGTGATGCCTAAAGAACAGCCCTAAAGAGAGTCAGAAATGAGCTAGAAAGTTAAGAAGGTGATGTTTCTCCAGAAGTGATTAATAAACAAGAATTGAAAACTGATTATAATTACCTAGTACAATTTAGAAAGAGAATATGAGGGCTGGGAAGGTGGCTCAGTGGTAGAGCACTTGCCTTGCATGCATGAGGCCCTGGGTTCGATTCCCCAGCACCACATAAGCAAAAAAAAAAAAAAAAGCCAGAAGTGGCACCTTGGCTCAAGTGGTAGAGCACTAGCCTTGAGCTGAAGAGCTGAGGGACAGCGCCCAGGCCCAGAGTTCAGGCCCCACAACCGGACCCCCCCCAAAAAGAATATGAAATGATAAAAATGGCCCCTTCAACCAGGCTAGTGATTCATGCCTGTAATTCTACATACTTACTAGGCTGAACTGTGAGGATCACAGCTCCCTAGCCTGGGCAGGAGAGTCTGTGAGACTCTTAATTAATCACCAAAAAGCTAGAACTGGAACTGTGGCTCAAGCAGTAGAACATTAGCCTTGAGCACAAAATCTAAGGAACAATGACCATTCTCAGTTCAAACCCCAGGAATAAGACACACAAAAATAGCCCCTTCATTTTAAAAATTGGAATTTCACATGTTTGGGGACCCTCTCCCACTCCTTCCCCCCTTCAGTATAATAAATAGTTGTGTGAAACTCGGAACAATTGTTTTATATTATATGAAGGAGGGATTGTTACCCATTGTTTGGTGTTCCTGGGACTTAATGAGGACTTTATACTTATAGGCAGGTCTCTACCATTTCAGCCACAGCTCAAGTATTTTAAATACTTTCAGGAAATTCAGAATGGAAGTACATATATCTGACTGGCCTGTGAGTGAACATGATTTGATACATAAAGTCTCATAGATTATCCAGCAACCAATATACTGTTCTTTGGTGAGAAAGGTGTTGGTTCTGGCAAAACAAGAAATTGAGGAAAAATTACTTCTATATTAAGCTTTAGCCTTGAGCTGGAAGAATCTTTTCTCAATATGGGAGCAGTCTTTATGTAAGTAATGTGACTTAAGAAATAACATCATTTCTTCCAAAAGAAAATACAGGATTTGTTAATTTAATAAAATAGTTCTAGTCATGAGTGTTAAACTCTAAACCTAATGGATATGTTTTCTTTTCCAGGAACATCTGAACTAGTTTGTTCGCCACATTATTTTCTCTATTTGGGCCATTTACATGAAGTACTTTAGTTTTCTAATACTTTTCACTAACCTGTAACTCATTCCCGTTATGGCAATTGTGGTTAGTTAATACTTGGCCATTTTACTGTCATTTATGTATGCATTGCATATATTGAACATTCTGTTTACTTACAACAATGATTGTTTTCTCGACAGGTTATTATTGCAGCAGAACTTCTGAAAAATGCAGATGAACTAGTCAAACAGAAAATTCATCCCACATCAGTAATTAGTGGCTATCGGCTGGCATGCAAGTAAGATTATTTCCATTTAGAGAAAGTTTGCTGATGTAGTGGTTGTAAATACTCTTACAGTATTGATTACTAACATAATTTTGTTTGAAAAAATTTCAAAGCACTGGGATGAGTGCATCTTCCCATTTGACTACCACATTTTCTCCTAAACATAGACTTTAGTGGCTATGCTTATGGGATACATTAAAGTTGCCATGATCTGAAGGGGGAGGGTTCTGAAGTGCCCTCCTTCTATATGAAATGGCTGAACAGTAGGTGCCTATGACATGAACAAAATGCCTGTGACATTTTGACCATGTGTTTGTTAAATACGATGAAACCAAAAAGTTCAGTGAATATATGAGTCTGTTCTCTCCTGTGCTTCAGGGAAGCCGTGCGATACATCAGTGAAAATCTAATTATTAACACAGATGAACTTGGAAGAGACTGCCTGATTAATGCTGCTAAGACATCCATGTCTTCCAAAATTATTGGAATGTATCCTTGGTTATTTTTCTGTTTCTTTTTTTTCCTCCTTTTTGCCATTAAGACTTACCATTTTTCCTGGGATACTCATCTGAGTGAACCATTCTGTTATAGAAATATACATAACACTTATTAAATTCCCTGTTGCCTTCCCTGAATTCCAAGGAGGAAAAAAAATAGAGACATAAGAGTAATTGGAACTGAATATAACAGTAGCAAATAATAATGTAGCAGTTTTGGTAACAATTCTTTGTAACAAGCTTAGTGACATGCTGGTACTTGAAAGACAAAGGTAGGAAGATGGAGAGTTCAAGGCCAGCCCAGAACTATGGAGCAAATAGGGCTAGAATTGCTTTGGGTGTTAAATGTGTGCCCTTCCTTCATTGAGAGTCTCCTTATCCTTAACTATTCACAAGAAACGGTGATTTCTTCTCCAACATGGTAGTGGATGCCGTGCTTGCCATTAAGTACACAGACTCAAGAGGCCAGCCACGCTATCCAGTCACGTCTGTTAATATTCTGAAAGCTCACGGGAGAAGTCAAACAGAAAGCATGCTGGTCAACGGCTATGCACTCAACTGTGTGGTGGGATCCCAGGGTAAGGTCTTGAATTAAATTACTACGGTATAAAAGTGCCTTTGTTGTGGTTTGTGTACAGTAATATCTTCTCTAACATAAGCACAGAAAATAGGAGGTTGCATGTCCTTAAGGTTTAATGTAATGAATTACAAGTTAAATTGTATTTGAGTTACCTTACATTATGTTTACTTACAGGCATGCCCAAGAGGATAGT